AGAGCAGATTTTCTACAGATTACCTCTTTTACTGGAGCCACAAGGTTTGGTGAGAAGGAACCTTGTGGGGGCCAATCCACACCAAACGAAGTTCATTCTGATGAACAAGAAATGCCAAGCTTACCTTTCTTGATCCTCAAGCCCAGATCCTGAGCTTTCCTGTGGATCTCAGAGAACTGATCAAGAATTAAAGCTCTGGGGGTCGATCGATTCTGACCCATGTTAAACAATCTTAATAAACAGAACCAGGAGAAAGATTATAAGACAATACACACACTAGGGACACACGCACAGATCACACTCCTACACTCGCTAGGACCGGTCCTCCATTCACACAGGTGCGCACCACACTCACCACAGTCACATTGGGATTCCCGAATTTGCCCAAAGGGCGTGAACGTGATTTTCACCTTCAGAGGGTTTAGTTCTTCCAAGTCTTCTCCTGGCGCCAGGTTTTCCAGAACAGATGAGAACCCAGAGAATATGTCCTCCCAATCATGGGCATTGTGACTAGCGGGTATCTCATAACTCAGACATCTGGTTTTGAGCTCCCTATGATTTACAGCTGTGGACACCTGCATTCCTGTGGAGGCTCATAAGGGGAGAGTTATTAGCGGAGGGACAGATCAAGTTACTAATTAGCAGTGCTTCACTCAGGCACTCCCCCATAGGGGCCCAAGTTTTATTTTTTCAATTATAAGAGAACTTCCCACGGTCTGGTAGTGAGAAAGGAGGGGAAGGGAGAGGGAGAGAGAAAGGCGGCGTTTTCAAATGTGGGGGCATGGATGTGCTTGGCTTACGAGTATCTAACAAGGCACAGTTTTTCTTTTGCGGGGGACGCGATTTTATTCTGGGAATCGTGGCTGTGACCCCCTCATCCTGTCACAGGAGACTTCTAGTGGCGAGTGCCCTAGAGGCTTTTAAGTGCTCGACCCGTGCCCGCAGGGAGGAACCGCCAGAAAAAGGAAAGGGGAGGGGGGTAAAGAGCGGAGAAAGTGACTGAGAAATTGAGAGGAAGAGAGATCGGCCCAATAACCGGGCCACCCAAAACAAATTCGGGCTGATGGGAGTTGGGAGAGAACAGAGGGAGTCCTAGAAGGGCCGCGTGACTGTGGAGGAGAGGGGCCAGTAGCCCTTTAAGAAGGTCTCTAACTCTCATTGCCAGTAGTAAAAGGCCAGGACGGGGATTTAAGACAGTCTCCCACACGGCCCCAGCGTCCATTGATAAGGTTCCAATAGGAAAAAGGTCAGGGCGGGGATTTTACAGTCTCCACACGCCCCCAGCATCTCTTATACACACATTTTCAAGAAGAAGGAAGAAATCAACAAGGTCCTTTTTCTTCACCTTGACTTCTGCGATGTTTAAGGGAAGTCTTAAACAATTCCCTCTTAGTCAGGGTCTGCCCTATGACTACTGATGGTGGACCAAGGGACAAGAGTGAACAAAAGAGGGAAAAAGAGAAAACTACAGAGGAGAAAAAAGAAGGAGAAAGACACTCACATGAAAGAGAAAGAAGACGCAACATAAATGGGTCACTGGAATACTGTCCCCCACGTGAATACCTGGGAGAAACAGATGCGAGACATGGGGGAGGCCCGACAAAGGGGCCCACTCAGGTGCTTGTCTGGCCAGTGGGAAACTTAGCCGTAGTGGATCATCCAAAGGTGACTTGCAACAGACGTCTAAGTCAACACCACCATAGACCATATGTTTCCCGTGGAATTGCGGACAGCCCACTCGGATTTCGTAGCCTTTCAGGGACCTTAAGGGTGCCCAGCCGTGGAACCACAGACTCGAATCAGAGGCGAGGACGCCTCTGACCGCTCATTCACTCACACACACATTCCACAGAGGACACGACAAAGGGGCGCCGGGGGGCCTTATCCCTACCAGTGACCGTCTCATACACCTATTATGAGACTGAACACTCAATTCTCCCCTGATGCCATCCTCTCAGCCTCAATTACGAGACGGGAGATTGTATCCTCTCAGCCTCGAACGAGACGGGGATCTCTACCCACTTGGCCTTGAACGAGACTGGGATTTCCAGATTAGGCACGCACTTAGTTTTCCGTGCGTCCCGACGGCCACCGCTTCCTGGAGGGGAGTTCGCAGGTCGTCTCCCAGACACCGCCCCGCGTGGGCGCCAGTTGCGGGGGGGTCCGCCAGACCACTCCTCTGGCCTGCGGAGGTGGCCCTAGGGTCCGTAGGTGCAAGGAGAGACCAACTGAATGAACACAAGACACAAGAGACATAATGAAGTTTAGAAGCAGAGATAAAAAGGGACAGGACAGGACTTTATTCAGGGCTGCAGGGGTATTATATACTTTGTGACGCAGGAAACTATGCTTACATCACAGAAGGCAATTACATCACGGTTAGGAGAGTTACAAAGACTACATGTTTCATATGCTTGGTTAATCAGTGTCAGTTACTTCTTATTCTTGGGCTAGCTGTGACAAATGTTTTCTTTTAGATAACAATCCATAGCTCAGAATATGCATAGGCTGCGGTCAGAGCAGACGCAGTACCAGATTAGCGCAAGTCAGGACCCGCTTTTTCAGGGTCACGTAGGCGAGGATAACCATACATAGCACATGCACGGAGGCCCTTGGTCAGTTAAATGGCCAGCTTCAAAATACGGTCTTGACGCTGTGATCTTCAGCTCACATTATCAGATCCTCCGCTTACCCTCCAGGAAGAGACCCACTTCACTCTCTGATGATGAAGTCTGACAGATCAATGTCCAACAGGACCGCATGCATTTTCTTATTCCAGTGCTAGACACTCAGAGGGAAGAACTGCCCACCGCACCCCTCTGCTCCCTGGGGAAGGGCTCTCACTAGGTACCAGGAGGATGGACAGATGGGTGATAGGTATATGAATGGATGGATGGACAGAGGAATGATGGATGGGTGGGTAGGTGAGAGGATGAATGGATGAGCGGGTGCATGGATGGATGTATGGATAATGAATGGATGAATGGATGAAGGATGGATTAATTGATGGATGATGGATGAATGGATGAGGGATGGATGGGTGGGTGGGTGGATGGATGGGTCAGTGGGTGGGTGAGTGGGTGAGTGGATGATGGATGGGTGGGTGGGTGGATGGATGAATTGTTGATGGGTGATGGATAGGTGGGTGGATGGATAGATGGAGGATGAATGGCCAAATGGTGATGAATGGGTACGTGGATGGGTGGGTGTGGAATGAAAGACAGACCTGAAGAACAGACATTCAAATGAAATCTCATGGGAGGGATACTGGGATCAGTGGTGGTGGAGAATGGGCACTGGTGGAGGGATCCGTGTTCAATCATTGTATAACTGAAACCCAAGCACAAAAATGTGTAAGTCTACAACTGTACCTCATGGTGTTTCACTAATAAAGCTTAAAAAAAAGTTTTAAGATAAGTACAGAAGAGTCTTACCAAAAAAAAAAAGTTCACACCTACTGTTACCGACGTGGGGCAAGCCCAGGTGGGAATAGGTTTTGTGCCTTGGCCTGTTTTCCCTGGTGGCTCGGTTGCCACCATCCTCCTGAGACCACTGGACAGTCAGGTTTGGGCCCGCAGTGACGAGACACGCGGGGCCTTACAGGATGGGGGTGGAGCCGGTTCTGTCCTCCCCGCGCCAACGAGACCCCGAGTTGCTGCCCATAAATGACCTCTCTGGCTCCTGATCAAGCTACTTAACGGCCATGATCCCAGAGACGCAGGAACAAATCTCGGAACCCAGAAGGTTTTGGCAGAAATTCCTCCAGATTTAATTGTTAAATTGTCGGAATTCCAAAATCGCACAGCCACTGCTGCGGCCGCACAACATCATATGTTATTCACAACAAGCAATAGAAAACAAATTGTCTACAGTTGCCTTTTCGGCAGATCTGAGTCTTGGGGTAAAATCCCAAATAATAATGGTGGATCTGGTGTTGAAATATTGAATGTAATCAAAGTAGAGAGTAATGTGGAAATAATCTACCCCACAGGAAGGGGGAGGATGTGGGATCGGGGGCATACTGGGTGTTCTAGTGGTGGAGAATGGGCACTGGTGAAGGGACGGGTGTTTCAGCATAGTATGACCGAGACTTTAACCCGAAAGCTTGTAACTGCTCTCACGGTGATTCAATAAATAAATTTATGAAAAAGAAAAAAAAGGTAAGGTGGAATTCATGCCCAATTCAATCAGCCTAATCAATGGCTGAATAAATAGCAATACTCCTACATTAAAAAAAAGTTCACACCTACTGAAATGACCCCTGGGCAATTAAATACTCAACAGTAGAGGAAAATATGCAAAAATATGCAAATAGACATTGTCCTAGAAAATATAACGGGAGTCTAGTGTCATAATACAGAAGATAGAGAGTTTGCCTTGCATACGGCTTACCCAGATTCAATCCCTGGCATCCTATATGGTTCCCTGAGTTTACCAGGGGGGATGCATGAGCCCAGAGTCAGGACTAACCCCTGAGGGTCGCTGGGTGTGACCCCCAAACATAATATACAATATATGTATATATATATTTAATCCAGTGGCATCTGCTTGCTCTAGAAACATGAAGAGCATCAAACTGTTCATTCCGGGCCTTTTCTGGGGGGGTCACACCTGGTGATGCACAGAGGTTACTCCTGGCTTTGCACTCAGGAATCACTCCTGGCAGTGCTCAGGGAACCATATGGGATGCTGGGAATCTAACCAGGGTCGGCCGCATGCAAGGCCAACGCCCTACCCACCGTGTTATGACTCCGGCCCCTCATTCAGGGTCTTGACGAAGAAGTCCGACCATCTCGTAGGTGGGCAGCCAGCTGTTCTTTTGACATCCCGTGGAATCCGCTGGGCTACACTAGCACACGACAGGGACGAATGGAGAGGTTACTGGTGCCCACTGGAGCAAATCGATGAGCAACGGGATGACAAGTGACACGAGTGATACAGGGGATATATATTTGACATCTCTAAAAGTAAGAGAATGGAAGCCATGGCGGAGGCATAGACACAGTTCCACGTGTAAATTTATTAAGGGGAATGACAGGAGGCAGGTGCAGGTTGAAACCGTCCATAGGAGGGGGTTGTCGCTCGTCTACGGGGGGATGGACCATAGCTTGGGGGAGGGGAGCAGAAGAGCAGTGGGCAGAGGGCATGACCCCAGGGTGCCCAGTCAGAGCCAGAGCTCGGGGCAGGGGGAGGCTGGCTTCTCACAGACCCAAGGAAGCTCTGACTGACACTTGACGTCGTTCCAGCCGCGCTCCAGCACCTGCACGCAGTCCTCATTGCCAGAGTTGTTGGGTTCTCCTGGACTCCAGAAGCTATGAGGACAGGGGAGGTCCGAGCCCCTTCCTTAGCCCACCCCCACCCCCATCTCCCAGCCCATCTGGACCCACGTGGAGGAGGTGGGAGTCGGGAGATATCTGCAAAGCCACGAGGGCAGAGAAGGCGCCCCCATGCGGGCAGCGTGAGCACGTGTGGACCGAACCACCTCGGAATAAAAGTTCAGTAGGTGCTGGGGCTGGAGCAATAGCACAGCGGGTAGGGCGTTTGCCATGCACCTGGCGGACCCAGGTTCGATTCCCAGCATCCCATATGGTACCCCGAGTACCGCCAGGAGTAATTCCTGAGTGCAGAGCCAGGAGTAACTCCTGAGCATCGCTAGGTGTGACCCCCAAAAGCAAAAAAAAAGTTCAGTGGGTGCCATGCTGGGCGCTGGCCTGGCACACAGGCAACCCAGGTTTGATTTCCCGCATCCCAAAAGGCCCTGAGCACTGCCAGGAGCAATTCCTGAGTGCAGAGCCAGGACTCCAACCTGAACATTGCCGGTGGGCCCCAGACACCCCCAAATAAACAAAAAACAAATGGCAGCACCCCAACAATAGCAACAATGCTATTGTTAATGGCAGTAACAATAGCATAGCCAGGCAAGCCTTTGCTTTGCACACAGCTGACAAGGGTTCGATCCCCAGCATCCCATAAGGCCCCCGAGCACCGCCAGGAATAATTCCTAAACGCAGAGTTAGGAGGAACTCTGGCAATGCTCAGGATGTGACCCAAAATAAAATAAAATCAGTAGGATAGCCCCACCTCCACCCCCTGAGGGTGGTGCCAGGATTCCACTGTTCCCCCCACTTGCTCAGGGGGGCTCTGAAGCTGAAGGTGAGGCTCCCTCATACTCTTCGAGGCCATTTTGGGGGCATCACCTGAATTGGAGGGAAGGTTTCCCGGGTCTCCCCCACCCCCACTGCCCACCCCAGCCAGTGTCTCTGAAAGTTTACCTGATATTGAGGGGACTTCCGTCTATCCACTGCCAGGACCCCTCTTCGTGATGGTCGCTGAGGCCAATCCACAGACCCTTCTTCTGCACTTCCCAAAATTGTAGGAATTTCTGGAGGTGGAAGCATCCAAGGATAGGGGTCGGGGGGAGGGGCGTCCGAAGGAAGACTCCCAAACGCACCCCTTCCCTTTCCTGTTCCCAGAGCGGTTCTTCTGGGGGCCAGTCTACCTTGAACCTCCAAACTTGCCCTGCGCGTGGAATCGCATGTGTGTTTCAGTAGGACACGTGAGGGGCTAGAGTGATGGACGTTTGCCTTGCATGTGGCCGATCCCACTTCGATTCCCAGCATCCCACATGGTCCCCTGAGCACCGCCAGGAGTAATTCCTGAGTGCAGAGCCAGGAGTAACCCCTGCACATCCCAAAAGCAAAAAGCAAAAAATAAAATAAAATAAAATCAGTAGTAGGTGTGAGAGCATGTGTGTATATCGTGAGCAAAGACCTCATGAAGACCTCCTGTCTGTCCAAAAATTAAATAAATAAATAAATAAATAAATAAATAAAAAGCTCCTAGGGCAGTAACAATAGCATAGCAAGGCAAACCTTTGCTTTGCACACAGCTGACAAGGGTTCGATCCCCAGGATCCCATAAGGCCCCCGAGCACCGCCAGGAATAATTCCTAAACGCAGAGTTAGGAGGAACTCTGGCAATGCTCAGGATGTGACCCAAAAGCTAAAAAAAAAAAAAAATGTTCCTTTTCTCTATGTTTTCTCTCTGGGACACGCCTCATGAGCCCGCCGCTTCTTCCTCCAGGAAGACTTCCCTGAGTGACTCTCCCCTGACCACATCCGAACCCCTGAGTCTCCCAATCGCAGGAGATAGAGGAAGGTGGGAGAGAGGGTCTTGAGAGCAGCCAAGGACGCCCGGCCAACACACCTCCTCCGGGGCACTGTTGACGATCACCAGCTGGGAATTCGTGCGCCGACAGGCGGACATAGCATGAAACCAATCTCCTGCGGACCTGGAGTACAGGTAGCAGTTTCCCCGAAAGTGCTCCCAGCCCCAGGGGCAGGCACGGCAGAGCCTCTCTGGGAAGGAGAGAAGGGAGTGGGTCAGATCTCAGAGACTCGAGCCTGGGGTCAGCTCAGCGCGTGGGACCCGCAGGGAACAGCTCCGACCCACACAGCCTTCCAGACACCTTTATTTTATTTTATTTTATTTTGCTCGAGTTTATTTTATTTTATTTTTTTATTTTGGGTCACACCCGGCGATGCACAGGTGTTACTCCTGGCTCTGCACTCAGGAATCACTCCTGGCGTGGCTCGGGGGACCCTATGGGAGGCTGGGATTCAAACTCGGGTTGGCTGCACGCAAGGCAAACGCCCTACCCTCTGTGCTATTGCTCCAGTCCCTTCCAGACACCTTTAGCCTAGAAAATGGGAGCAGGGCTGGAGCAACAGCACAGCGAGGAGGGCGTTTGCCTAGCACGCGACCAACCCGTGTTCGATTCCCAGCATCCCATAGGGTCCCCCAAGCACCGCCAGGAGTAATTCCTGAGTGCAGAGCCAGTAGTAACCCGTGAGCATCGCCGGGTGTGACCCAAAAAGAAAAATAGGAAAAAGAAAAAAGTGGGAGCAGCCCTTCCGTCCCAGCACCCCACACACAGCCCCTCCAGACTGGGACCTGACTCGAACCTACCCAGGGAGTCGTTTATCCGGGAAAGCTGCTGGTTGACCAAGTGCAGACCGGCCTGGATCTGTTGCTCACGTGCATCAGCTGCAGACGAGGACTCAGAGATTAAGCACCAACGATAGAGGCTCCCTCCCGCCCCCCAGAGCATGCTGGGTGGGTCCCACAGAGACTCGAAGCCCATTTTACAGATGAGAAGAGTGAGGCTCACAGAGCCGCATAGCCCAGTGAGCTCTCAGGGCTCCAGCACGCATACACCCCCCCCAGCTTTCCCCCGGAGCTGGGTGGTCCCTCCAGGCACTGAGCTGGGAACCCCCCAACGCTGGAATGTGTGATATCCACTCCTCACCTGAGCTCTGGCTCCTCTGATGGGCCCCAGGCCAGCTCTGCAGGGTCTGGTGGACCCTAGAGACTACAAAGCAACAGAGAAACCCCCTTGAGTGGCCCCTGAACCGTGTGTGTGATGCCACCTCACGACTGGAGGTTGCAGAGAGCCAGGAAGCAGAGCAGCCTGCCATGGCCGGGAAATCGGGCTCAGAGAGAGTGTGTCAGAGCTGCAACACCACAGAGCACGGGACACGGAGCCCAAACCCTCAGCATTTGGGGGGACCAGGGAGAAAAGGGTCAAGGACATCCTAGCGGGAAAAGCCAGTGTGAGCCTGGACACACAGTTCCCAGGACTCACCGCGGGCCAAGATGGTGATGAGGACCAGGAAGAAGATCAGGCTGATTAGAAGCTGAAACAGAGACAGGCTGACCCGGGGCAGGCGCCCTGCGGAGTGGCCAGGGGCAGAGCTGAGACCAACGTTCCTAGTTCCTATTCCAGAGACGCCTCCCAGAACCCCACACCCTTCGCCAGGTGGCTGACACACTCCCTACCTGACCACCTCCTCACGTTCTGGAATATTCCAGCCTCCTCCTCAGCCATGTTCACATCCCCAAACGTGCCCTGCTCTGATCGGGACAGACACATACTGAGTCTTTCCCTAGATAAACCCAACTCCCCGGAATGAGAGCTGGAAGCCAGCCTGGGTTTCCCCAGCACCCCAAAGCTCCATGCTCCCCTTATCTTCCGGCCTCACCTTGGTCCCTTGGTCCTTGGGGGTGAAGCATCTCCCCCATCCTCTGGTCTCCCTGCTCCACCGCCTCCCACGGACTCTGGTTTTTATAATCCAGAGCTTGATCCCTGATCTGGCCCCCGTCTCCGTCAGAAAGGAGAACAAGGAAGAGCTTGGTGTCCTCACTTTTCCCCGAAAAGTCACTGGGTGTGTGGGTGTGTATGTGTGGATGGAATGGGGGTGGGGGAAAGGACCGGAAGAGAAAACTTCCTGACACAGCTGGAGGGAGAACGTTGGGCAGGGCAGATCTTTCTTTTCCCTTTTTTTTTTAAAAAAAAAAAAAGAAAAAAAGTCATGACCCAGTCCAAAGAGTCAAACTCAGGGACATGCTCCGTGAGGTTCTGGGTTTTGCTCGGTCATCAATGCCTTTCAGTGCTCAGGATCCTGGACCCATCAATGGAGGGGTTCCTGTTGGCCTAGTGTCATTCATTTAAAAAAAACCACCCAACTCTCCTGATGGACGGGAGCGGGGAAGGTGAGACATTGATGAATCCTGTGAAAAGGTTTGTGAAGGTTTGGAGGTGGGACCAGGTACATAAAGCAACACTTGAATCCTTTATTTCTCTCCTAATGCTATTGGAGCTGTTACTTGGCTACTCCTGGCTCTGTGCTCAAGGGATAATTCTGGGCGCTTTTTTTTCTTTTTGGGTCACACCCGGCTGTGCACAATGCTTATTCCTGGGTCTTCACTCAGGAATTATTCCTGGCAGTGATCAGGGACCATATGGGATGCTGGGAATCGAACCTGGGTCGGCCACGTGCAAAGCAAACGCCCTACTCGCTGTGCTATCGCTCCAGCTCTTCTGGGCACTTTCTTAGGATCTGATACAGCACTGGAGATTGAACCATGGTCAGCTGCATGCAATGCAAACACCTTAACCCTTGTATTATCTCTCTCCTGCTGCACCCTCAAAACTATCTAACATACATCCTGGGAAGAAGGCAGGCTGAGAAGTCCACACCTCCCAGGCAAGGTGCACCAAGCACTGTTGGAGAAACAGCGCACCAGTCAAAACTGACTGTGTGAAACCTCATTTGTGAGAGTGACAAGATCAGATCCCTTTGTTTTGAATAAGCTATGTCGCCCCCACCCAAAAAAGCATAAAAACCGCTGAAGTTCTGAATCCAAGGGTAAGTCAGCAGGGCTGGAATGAGAGCACAGCAGGTAGGGCATTGGCCTTGCACGTGGCTGACCAGCATTCAATTCCCAGCATCCCGTATGGTCCTCCGAGCACCGCCAGGAGTAACTCCTGAATGTGGATCAAGCAGTAACCCCTGTGCATCGCTGGGTGTGATCCAAAAACGAAAAAAAAAAAGAGTAAGCCAGTACTGCCCTAAGTCAACCAGACTTTCATATGAAGAAGTCTTCCATAGAGAAGGTAGATTGGATAGATGGATGGATGGATAGATGGATGGATGGATGGATGGATGGATGGATGGATGGATGGATGAATTGGTGGGTGAGTAGATGGATGTATCGGTAAGTGTATAGATGGATACATGCATGGAAGGATAAAAAGAGGATAGGTAGATGAATGAATGAATGAATGAATGGATTAATGGGTGGATGAATAAATGGTTGGATGGATTGGTTGGCGGGTGGATGAATGGGAAGTGTGGAGGGTAGGTAGTGGATGGGTTGACGGATGGGTGGATGGGTGGGTGGGTTGGTGGTGGGTGCGTAATGTGTAGATGAATGGATGGATTGATAGGTATAGAAATGAATGGATGGGTCACACCACCATAAGTCACCTCCTGCTGGCGCCATTAATTTCTTCATCGGCCGCCATCCAGATCACACGGCTTTTTCTCCCAGAAGAAAGCAACATGACGCCTGCCATAGCTATGCCACCGAACTCCGCACCAGGCTGTTTCACTCGGGGCACCCCAGAGGGCTTAGGTGAGAGCCCTCCCTGCCCCAAGGGACCCAGCTCCAGTAGCCGAAAACCTCCAGAACCCAACCGCCACCACACTCAAGGCCATTCCCCAGTGCTCGGGCTGAACCTCGCATACGAGACACATCATAAAATGGTTTTCCACAACAAACAATATAAAATATATTATTTCGGTTGTGCTGTGGGACAGGGATTGGCCTTGGGATGGAAACATCCCAAATTTGGTGCTGGGAAGGTGTCATGGTGATGGGGTTGGTGTTTGAATATTAACTGTAATCAAATATTGGGAACCACCTTATAAAATAAAAATTTAAAAAATGATAGCACAGGGGCTGGAGTGATAGCACAGCGGGTAGGGTGTTTGCCTTGCATGCAGTCGACCCGGGTTCGATTCCCAGAATCCCATTTGGTTCCCTGGGCACCACCAGGGGTAATTCCTGAGTGCATGAGCCAGGAATAACCCTTGTGCATCGCCTACTGTGACCCGAAAAGCAAAAAATTAAAAAGTAGTAGTAGTAGAAGAAGAAGAAGAAGAAGAAGAAGAAGAAGAAGAAGAAGAAGAAGAAGAAGAAGAAGAAGAAGAAAGAAAAACTGTCGTAGCAAACAGCAAATGTCATCGACAAGAGCACTTGAAGCAGCGGCGAAAGCACAGACACCGTGTTCAACGACGACAGTATCCAGTGTGTGACTTTATTCAGGGGATGCCACTGGGGCCGAGAGGAGAAAAAGGCACCCAAGGGAGGGGGTGACCTCTAACCGATGGGGGGGCGGGCTGTGGGCAAGGGGGTCTCGGGATCTCTGGGGATCTCCAGGGTCCAGGAGGAGAAAGCCACAGTTGGGGCAGGAGCGCCTCACGGAGCCCCAGAGCAGCCTGACCGAGGGGGACAATGGTCATCACGGTTGGGAGCAGGACAACGCGGGCTTCTCACAAATCCACGGCTTCTCTTTACTACACTTGTCATCGTTCCAGCCATCATTGTACAATTCCACACAGTCTTCATTATTATCGTTGTTGGGTTCTCCTGGTTTCCAGAAGCTGTGAACAGCAGTGATGCAATGAGTCCCCCACTGACCTGTCCTCAGCTCGATCCAAGACCACTGCCCCGCTCCCTGAAGAGCTGCGCTCTGGCACTTTGCAGCCAGTTTCGAAGAGGAGGGGAGAAATTCCGAGGCAGGATTGTTAGTGTAGTTGGTGTCAGGGCCACGTTTGCCAGTGCTTATTCCTGGCTTATTCCTAGCTCTGTGCTCAGGGGTCACCCTTGGTGGGGCTCAGGACATCATCAGTGGTGCTGGGAACTGAGCCCATGTGGCCACATGCAGAGGAAGTGCCTTCCCCGCTGTCCCATCACTCCAGCTCCAAAGAAAGGGTTGTAAAAATTTATTCCTATAAGGGACTGGAGAGATAGCACAGCGGGGACGGCTCTTGCCTCGCACGCAGCAAACTGGGGTTTCATCTCTGGCATCGGATCTTGTCCCCTGAATCCCACCATGAATGATCCCTGGTCACAAAACCAGGCCTAAGCCTTGCCCACCATTGGATGTGACTTAAACCAAAGAAATCAAGAATCTGGGGCCGGAGCAATAGCACAGCAGGTAGGGCATTTGCCTTACATTCGACAGACCTAGGTTCTATCCCTGGCATCCCTTAGGGTCCCCTGAGCACTGCCTGGAGTAATTCCTGAGTGCAGAACCGGGAGTAACCCCTGAGCATCGCTGGGTGTGACCCAAAAAGCAAAAAAAAAAAAAAAGAAATCAAGATTCCGATGACATGGGAGTAAATGGCTGATTCCTGGGCCTGGCTCTTGAATGGGCCTCTCTGTCGTGGCCCGGGAAACTGGGGTGGCGATCCCAGAAATCGATCGCACGCTCTGCTTGGAGTCGGGGATTCCCCCTCCATGTTCCGACCCCAAGGCAGTGTTTGGGAGGGGTCACCTGAGTTGGAAAGGGGTCCCGTCCACCCATTGCCAGGACGCCTCATCGTGGTGGTCACTGAGTCCGATCCAAGTTCTTTTCTCGTGCCGGACCTCCCAAGACTGGAGGAATTTCTGTGGGTGGAAAATGGGGGACATCAGAGGGAAGATCCCCAACACAGCCCTGAGCACCCCTGTCCACACTCCCACAGACCCTGCACCCAGGAAAGTCCATCTGCAGTCTGGACGCAGCCCGACCCCAGGACACCAGAGCAGCTGTGTGTGCAGTGCTGAGTCTCCTTCCCGGGATGGGGTGAGGGGTGGAGAGAGGCCCCATCTGCCCTCACTGCAGTGGCTCTCATACATGACCTATCACGGGACCTTCCTCCTGCTCCTCCAGGAAGCCTTCCCTGACTGCACCCATGGTCCATCCTACACCTATTGGACTCGACCTCCCAGGAAGGTGGCAGAGAGGGTGTTGAGACCAGCCAATGGGCCACACCTCCTCGGAGACGCTGTTGACGACCACCAGCCGGGCGTTCATGCTCTGACAGGCAGGGTCTGAAGACGCCCAATCGGTCTGGGACCTGGAGAACCAGTAGCAGCTTCCCTGGAAGAGCTGCCAGCCCCAGGGGCACTGGCGGCAGAGTCTGTCTGGGGGAGAAGGGTAGCGTCAGATCCCGGAGTGGGGGGCGCTGGGTCACAGTGTGCTGTGTCAGCTCAGAGCATGGGGTCCTTCGTGGAAGGGTCCCCAGCCCACCCGCCCTCCTCAAGCCTGTAGCCAGAAGCCTCCGGGCCCCTGCACGCCCCTCCTGACCGGGTCCTCCTCCTGACGTACCCAGAGTGCCATTCATCCGAGCAAGCCGCTTGCCGATGACTTCGAGTTCGTCTTGAATCTGCTTCTGCATATCTGCAGGCAAGGACTCAGTGTCAAGCACCAACCAAGGGTGGACAGTCCCCAGGAGGATGTGCTGGCAGATCTCACAGAGACCGCGAAGCTCCCCCTATTTTTTTTTGTTGTTCTGGTTGTTTTGTTTTTTGTTTTGTTTTGTTTCCTTTTTGTCTGGCTCTGCACCCAGGAATGACTCCTGGTGGCTCTCAGAGGATCCTATGGGATGCCGGGGATCGAACCTGGATTGGCCGCATGCAAGGCAAACGCCATCCCCTCTGGGCTGTCACTCCGGCCCCCTCAGAGCTCATTTTACAGACGGGAAGAGTGAGGCTCACAGAATAGCTCTACCCAGAGAGCACACGCGGGGCTCCAGCCCACCCAGCTCTCCCTCGTTTCCCCTGAGCTGGGGGTCTCTCTCCAGGCCCTGCAGCCTGGGATCCCCCCCACTCGACTATGTGCTGTCCAACTCCTCACCTGGGCTCTGGCTTTTCTGACGGGCCCCAGGCCAGTTCTGCAGGGACTGGTGGAATCTGGAGACTACAGGAGAGCAGAGAAGCCCCCGTGAGTGGCTCTCCCCCCCAAACCGTTCGTGACTCTGCGTCCCATGCAGGGATCCTGAGAGCATCAGTTCCCATGCGGGTACAGAGCTGCATTCTGCAGAGTGGGAAATGGGCTCAGAGAGGGTGTGTAGGAGGGACAATGTCACACAGCAGATCAGATGGAGTCAAATCCCTATGCCTTTAGGGAACTAACGTACCAGAGAGAGAACCCAAAGGGGCCTCAGACTCCAAGCCCACGGCCCCTTGGACTCACCTTGGGCCAGGATGGTCACTAGTAGCATGAAGAGGCCCATGGAGATGAGCAGCTGAACGAGACGGAGACGGACCCGGGGCAGGCGCCCTGCAGAAGTGGCCGAGGGCAGGGCTGAGTCTGTGCCCGCCAATGTCCCGTGCACCCCTGCCAGACACGCCTCCCGCCCACCCCCTTCCCCAGGCGGCTGAACCACCCAGTTACCTGACCACCTCCTCAAGTTCTGGAATATTCCAGCCTTGTCCTCCATCAACCTCTGGTTCTCCAATGTGTCCTCTGTATGGGACAGACACGCCCCACCGAGGGGGTCTCCAGCTGAGCCTCTCCAGCTTGCAACCAGCCAGGGCTCCCCCCTGGACCCCAGAGCCCCACCGTCTGCACCCCCAGCCTCACCTGGGTCTCCTGGCCCCTTGGGGGTGAACATCTCCTCCATCCTCCCCTGCTCTCTGCTCCTCTCTCTCCAGCCCTTTTCTGATGTGTCTGTCCCGCCCAGGACGGCCTGTGCCACTGTGACCTGGACCTCCCTCCACCCAGAAAGCAGAACAGGGATGAGGATGGTGGCAACACTTCCCCCGGAAAGTCCAAGGGGCGTGAAATGAAGTTCTTGGCACTGCCAGGAAGACATGTGCTACGGAGCAGATGTTTCCGACCTGGGCATTAAGGGGTGCCACACAGGGCAGGAAAGGGGAGACCTGAGCATCGGGGAGGGGACCCCACTCCAGAAGTTCCACTGTGCAATAAAGTCTAACTTCTTTATTTTTTTTCTTTTTAGGTTACACCCAGCAATGCTCAAGGGATTACTCTTGGCTCTGCACTCAGAAATTATTCCTGACTCTGCTTGAGGGAAGCCCTGAGCACCACCCAGGGTGACCCCAAGAACCACAGACAACAGCAAGCAACAGGTTGCCAAATACCAGTAACAATGATGGGTCTCATTCTCCTAACTCTGAAAGAGCCTTGAATATGGCACTTTCTTAAAAATCTCAGGGCTAGGACGAAGGAGATGTTACTGGGGCCTGCTCGAGGCAATCGACGAATAACAGGATGGTCGTGATCGTCGTGATCGTGCTTGGGGGACCCTATGGGATGTTGGGAATCGAATCCGGGTTGGCCGCCTGCAAGGCAAACGCCCTACCCGCTGTGCGATCGTTCCAGCTCTGAAGTCTAACTTCTTTTGCTTGCTGTTGTCTGTGGTTCTTGGGGTCACCCCTGGTGGTGCTCAGGGCTTCCTCCTGCCACTGTGTTCTGGGATCACTCCGGGTGGGGTTCAGGGGAGCCTCTGGGGTGTCAGGGCACTTGCCTTACATGTGGTAGACCCAAGTTTAATCCTCAGCACCACGTGGGCTTCCCTGAACCCTGCCAGAAGTGATCCCTAAGCACCAAGTCAGAAGTCAACCCTGAGCACTGCTAGCTGTGACCATAATTAATAAATTTTTTTAAAAAATTAATCTTTTAGATTCAGTCTAAAAGATAGAGAGAGCTCAGGGTCAGAGCAATAGTACAGAGAGGGTAGGGCATTTGCCTTGCACATGGTAGACCTGGGTTCGATCCCCAGCCTCCCACTGGGTTCCCAGAGCACCCCCAGGAGTGATCCCTGAGTGCAGAGCCAGGAGTAACCCCTGAGTATCACCAGGTATGACCCAAAAAGCAATAAATAAATAAATAAATAAATAAATAATTGGAACAGATACAGGGAGTTCTGGAGAACAATACAAAGTAATAAAGTAAGGTATTTTATAGGTATTTATCAGTATATGATAAAGGTGTTTTGTTTTGGGGGCTACACCCAGCGAAGTTCAGGGCTTCTTCCTGGCTCTGTGCTCAGAAATGACTCCTAGGGACTGGAGAGATAGCACAGCGGGTAGGGCGTTTGCCTTGCATGTGGCCAACCTGGGTTCGATCCCCAGCATCCCATATGGTCCCCTGAGCACTGCCAGGAGTAACTTCTGAGTGCAGAGCCAGGAGTAACCCCTGTGCATCGCCAGGTGTGACCCAAAAAGCAAAAAAAAAAAAGAAAGAAAGAAAGAAAGAAAGAAATAACTCCCAGTGATGCTCAGGGGACCCTGTGGGATGCGGGGATTGAACCTGGGTCGGCCACATGCAAGACAAATGCCTGACCCGTTGTCCTATCACTCCAGTACCAGGATTGTGGCATGTGTGTGTGTGTGTGCACGAGTTCACATGTTTGTGTGTGTGAAGCAAGAAAGATTTCTTTGAAACTTGTTTAGAAAGATGTGAGGGGAGAGGGGGAGAAGTGTGTGTTCAGGAGAGGACACAGGTTTCTCTAGGTGGAAAAAAAGCAGCAAAGAAATGGCAAGTGAGGGGCTGGAGCAACAGCACAGCGGGTGGGGCTTTTGCCTTGCATGGGGCCGACCCAGGTTCGGTTCCCCTCATCCCATATGGTCCCCTGAGCACCGCCGGGGTGATTACTGAGCGCAGAGCCAGGAGTAACCCCTGTGCATTGCCGGGTGTGACCCCCAAAAAAAGCAAAAAAAAAGAAACGGCAAGTGAGGGGACCCTGCCTTCGGAGACCCCTCCCAGAAGGGTCCCTAACTTGCTCCTCTTTCTCTTCTGTTTCCCTGAATGGAGTTCTTCTTTTTTCCTTTTTGGGTTACTCTTGGATCTGCACTCAGGGATCATTCCTGGCAGTGCTCTGGGGACCATATGAGATGCTGGGGATTGAATCCAGGTCTGCCGTGTGCAAGGCAAGCGCCCTCCCCGCTGTCCTACTGCTCTGGTCCTGAATGTACTTCTTTTTTTGGGGGGGGGTCACACTTGGCGATCCACAGGGGTTACTCCTGGATCTCCACTCAGGAATTACCCCTGGCGGTGCTCAGAGGACCGTATGGGATGCTGGGAATCGAACCCGGGTTGGCCACCTGCAAGGCAAACGCCCTACCCACTGTGCTATTGCTCCAGCCCCCTGAATGTAGTTCTTTTGTTGTTGTTGTTGTTTTGTTTGTTTGGTTTTTTTTTTGCTTTTTTGGGTCACACCTAGCGATGCACAGGGGTTACTCCTGGTTCATGCACTCAAGAATTACTCCTGGCCATGCTTGGGGGACCATATGGGATGCTGGGAATCGAACCCGGCTGTGCTATCACTCCGGACCCTGAATGTAGTTCTTTTTTTTTTTTTAATTTTTGTTAGTGAAACACCATGAGGTACAGTTGTAGGCTTACAAATTTTTGTGCTTGGGTTTCAATTATACAATGATCAAGTACCCATCCCTCCACCAGTGCCCATTTTCCACCACCACGAATCCCAGTATCCCTTCCACCCCCCATCCCCCCATCCCACCCTGCCTCTGTGGCAGGGCATTCCCTTTTGCTCTCCTTTTGGGTGCTGTGGTTTGCAAAAGAGACATTGAGTGGGAATCATGTTCAGTCTAGAGTCTAATTTCAGCATGCCTCTCCCATCCTGGGAGGATCCTCCAAACACCCTTTATTTGGTGCTCCCTTCTCTATCTGAGCTGCCCTTTCCCCTAGAGTGCCCGGCTGGCCTCCAAGCCATGGAGTAAACCTCCTGGTACTTATCTCAGCTTGAATGTAGTTCTTGATGTCTGCTCTTGTCCTTTGCTTTCCATTTTGACTGCTTGAGGTCAAGAACCCGCGACAGGGCCTGGAGTGATAGTACAGTGGGTAGGGAGTTTGCCTTGCACATGACCGACCTGGGTTTGATCCCATATAGTTCCCCAAGCACCGCCAGGAATAATTCCTGAGTGCACAGCCAGGAGTAACCCCTGAGCATCGCTGGGTGTGACCCAAAGAGGAAAAAAAAAAAAAAGGAAACTGCGACAGCCTTATTTTATTTATTTATTTATTTATTTTGCTTTTTGGGTCTCAGGAATTATCCCTGGCGGTGCTCAGGGGACCATATGGGATGGTGGGGATCGAACCCGTGTCAGGTCGGCCACGTGCAAGGCAAACGCCCTACCCACTGTGCTATCACTCCAGCCCCCCCCCGCCCCCCCCCCCCCCCCCCCCGCTACAGCCTTTGACAAAAGCCTTAGAGGAATTGGTTGTCTAAATTGCCTTCACGCACCAAGGAAACTGGCTGAATTCAGTCTCTGTCTCTTACTTTTCTTTCTTTCTCCTTCTGGCCTGGCAAGCGGGGCACTTGAACCCATGCACGTAAATGCTGGCCACCTGCTCTCCTACTGTCCCCTTAAAAAAGAAAAAAAGAGGGGCTGGAGTGATAGCACAGCCGGTAGGGCGTTTGCCTTGCACGCAGCCAACCCAGGTTTGATTCCCAGCATCCCATATGGTCCCCTCAGCACTGCCAGGAGTAATTCCTGAGTACAGAGCCAGGATGCATCCTGTGCATCGCTGGGTGTGACCCAACAAGAAAAAAAAAGAAGCAGAAAAAGAAAAAAGAAACAGAGCAAGTGAGATACATGCTCAAGGAAGAACATGGGAAAACCTCTAAGACCTTGAAAAAAAAAAAGAAAAAATGGATACAGATGAGGGCCAGAGAGGTAGTACAATGGGTAGGGCGTTTGCCTGCACACAATGGACCCAGGTGCAATCCCCAGTTTCCATGATATATGATTTCTTCAGCCCCCACCAGGAGTAAACCATGAGCCCCGCTGGGTGTGAACCCCCACCCATAAAAAAGGAGAAGAAGAAGAAGAAATGAAAAAGCTGATCTTTGAATTTATTCAAAATTGCAAGGGACCTCCAAGTGACAAAACAATCTTGTCAAAGGGGGAAATATCATAAGACTCGGTTAAAAAAAAAAAGAAAGAAAAAATAATCCAAAAGCAGCATTAATTAAAATAGCATGATTCTTACCTAAGGATTAATGTACAAATCTACATGACAAAAAATTGAGTCCAGGGCTGGAGTGATAGCACAGCAGGTAGGGCGTTTGCCTTGCACGCGGCTGACCCGGGTTCGATAACCAGCATCCCATATGGTCCCCTGAGCACCGCCAGGGGTAACTCCTGAGTGCAGAGCCAGGAGGAACCCCTGTGCATCACAGGAGGTGACCCAAAAAGCAAAAAAAAATAATTGCGTCCAGGGGCCAGAACAATTTGCCTTGCATGTGACGGACAAGGGTTTGATTCCCAGCATCCCATGGGTCCTCTGAGCACTGCTAGGAGTGATATTGAGCACCAAGCCAGGAGTAACTCCTGATAACAACTGGGTGTTTCCCCCAAAAAATTCGAAGTATGAAATGAGACCTCTGCGGGGTCAGTTGATTTCTTACAATTGTTTAAAGGAAAAAGTGCGTTCAATGGTGTGAAAAGGGAATATCGCCTTCAGTAAATGGTGAGACCCTGTTTCATTTCCACAAATGACTGAAACTGAAGCCCTAATTCAAACCACTCACAAGCTCTTAACAAGAACTGAAACAATCATCAATTTAGCAGCGCTAATGGGGCTGGAGCACCAGGAGAACAGGGAGGGCGCTCGCCTTGCATGCTGCCGACCCAGGTTTGATT